GGCGGCTCGGGGCCGCCAGGATTTCATCCGCACGTCTTGCAGCATGGTTTCCTTCTGCGCAACGCGGCCCTGCACTCGGGGGCTCATCGGGCCTGCAGGCGCTGCTTACCTATGAGCTTTGTCAACCAAGGTACGGCTGGGAGGGTGGGAGGCTTGCGCGAACGTGGGATGTGGCAAAGGGGTCAAGCTCGAACATGGGATGTGATCACGCGCGGCGCAGCGTTGTCAAATTTACACGATCGATTGCACCACAAAGACTGCGGCGCATTGATTGCTCCACACAGGCTACACAAGAGATATTGCACCCCATATGATTCAAAACATAGGCTGTACAACACGGGCTGCGCCAAATAGATCGCCCCACGCATGTTGCACTACATAGATTGCACCACAACGAATGAACAACTTGCAATGGGACACATAAAATGCACCACCGAGGTTGCTCCACCTAAACTGTACCACATGTGTTGCGCCGCGCGGCGTGCACCACATAGATTACACCACGGGTGTTCTACTTCGCGTAAGGAAAGTGCGATCGACAAGAACCACCCCTCACGGGGTTAAACTCTCCCCTTGGGATAGTAAAATGCACGCGCGATTCTGCCCTATCGCTCCTTCTAAATCTGAACCCATCCCATCCCAGCCCAGCCAACACCGCCCCCTCTCCCAAATCCCTGACACATACCATTATGCGCGCACGCGCGTTTAGCACAAAAACATCAATTGCCAAGAGTTCGTTACATATCTGTATATATACAAATATATACACACATAGCTACATCAGCCTAACGAAGGACCCAACCATATGCATATGCGAATACCGCATTGTGGGTACCGCTTTCGGTAGGGCCGCTGATGGGGCCACGAACCGTGTGAGGGATGTGCTGAAGTGGATGCGGCGGTGCCTTGCGAACCCTCCCACTGGAGCCTTCGGTGGAGCTCCCTATGGGGCCACGAACCGTGTGAGAGGTGTGCCGAATTGGACGCGGAGGTGCGATGCGAACCTTCCCACAGGAGAGTTCGGTGGAGCTCCCTACGGGGCCACGAGACGTGTGAGGGGGTGCGCCGAATTGGGCGCGGTCGTGCCATGCGAACCCTCCCACTGGAGCCTTCGGTGGAGCTCCCTACGGGGCCACGAACAGTGTGAGGGGTGTACCGAATTAGGCGCGGTGGTGCCATGCGAACCCTCCAACTGGAGCCTTCGGTAGAGCTCCCTATGGGGCCACGAACCGTTTGAGGGTGTGCCGAATTGGGCGCGGTGGTGTCATTCGAACCCTCCCACTGGAGCCTCCGGTGGAGCTCTCTATGGGGCCAGGAACCGTGCGAGTGGTGTGCCGAATTGGGTGCGGTGGTGCCACGCGGACCCTCCCACTGGAGCCTTCGGTGGGGCCCGTGATGGGCCACGAACTGTGTGGGGGATGTGCTGAAGTGGATGCGGCGGTGCTCTGCGAACCCTCCCACTGGAGCCTTCGGTGGAGCTCTCTATGGGGTGTGCCGAATTGGGTGCGGTGGTGTCACGCGGACCCTCCCACTGGAGCCTTCGGTGGGGCCCCTGATGGGCCACGAAAAGTCTGAGGAGTGTGCCAAATTGGGTGCGGTGGTGTCATGCGAAACCTCCCACTGCAGCCTTCGGTAGAGCTCCATATGGGGCCACGAATAGTGTGAGGGGTGTGCCGCCTTGGGTGCGGTGGTGTCATGAGAACCCTCCCACTGGAGCCTTCGGTGGAGCTCCCTATGGGGCCACGAAACGTGTGAAGGGTGTGCCGACTTGGGTGCGGTGGTGTCACGCGAACCCTCCCACTGGAACCTTCGGTGGAGCTCCCTATGGGGCCACGAACCGTGCGAGGGGTGCCGAATTGGGCGCGGTGGTACCATGTGAACCCTCCCACTGGAACCTTCGGTGGGGCTCCCTATTGGGGCCACGAAACGTGTGAGGGGTGTGCCGGATTGGACGCGGTGGTGCCATTCGAGCGCAGCCACTGGAGCCTCCGGTGGAGCTCCCTATGGGGCCACGCACAGTGTGAGGAGTGTGCCGGCTTGGGTGCGGTGGTGTCACGCGGGCCCTCCCGCTGGAGCCTTCGGTGAAAATCCCGATGGGGCTACGAAGCGTGTGAGGGGTGCGCCGAAATGGTGGGTGGGGGGAGAACGCGGGGCGCTGTCGATTCAAAACGAGGACCCAACACCACAGGATGTTTAGGGGAGAAAAAACAAAAACCAAACAAAACAAAAAAAACAAACAAACGCGCGCGTGCGTCGCCGCGCGCATGCGTGCCGAAAATATATGGGAACAGAACGCAAGAGTTCGCAAGGATTGGAAAATCGAAATCCCCGAAAACATCTGCCCACATGATTCCGTGCGATCGCTTTTCACCGAAGAGATCCTGGCGAAGGACCCAAACATACGCAGTTGTGAAAACACAATTGTTGGTACCGTCTTCGGTGAAGCTCCTTATAGGGCACGCAACGTGTGAAGGTGTGCCGACATGGGCGCGGTGGTGTCATGCGAGCGCAGCCACTGGGGCCTCCGATGGAGCTCCCCATGAGGCCACGAAGCGTGTGAGGGGTGTGCAAAAATGGGCGCAGTGGTGTCATGCGACCGCTGGGGCCTTCGGTGGAGCTCCCCATAGGACCACGAAGCGTGTGAGGAGTGTTCCGACATGGGTGCGGTGGTGTCATGCGAACGCAGCCATTGGGGTTTTCGGTGGATCTCCCTATGGGCCTACGAAGCGTGTGGGGGCCGTTTGCCGAAATTGGTGCGGTGGCGCCATGCGAACGCAGCCACCGGGGCCTTCGGTGGAGCTCCCTATGGAGCCACGAAACGTGTGAAGGGTGTGCCAACATGGGTGCGGTGGTGCTACGCGAGCGCAGCCACTCGGGGCCTGCGGTGGAGCTCCATATGGGGCCACGAACCGTGTGAAGGGTGTGCCAACATGGGCGCGGTGGTGCCATGCGAGCGCAGCCACTGGGGCCTTCGGTGAAGCTCTGTGTGGGGCCTCGAAACATCTGAGGGGTGTGCCGAAATCGGTGCGGTGGTGTCATGCGAGCGCAGCCACTGGGGCCTTCGATGGAGCTCCCCATGGGGCCACGAAACGTATGAGCGGCGTGCTGAAAAGGGGTGCGGTGGTGTCGTGCGATCGCAGCCATTCGGGTCATGCGAACGCAGCCACTGGGGCCTTCGCTGGAGCTCCTTTATGAGGTTACGAAAGGTGTGAACGGTGTGCTGACATGGGTGGCGATGATGGTGACGATGACGGCGAGGATGATGGCGATGACGATGACGGTGACGGTGACGATGGCGACGATGATGATGATGATGATGATGATCATGATCATGATCATGATCATGATCATGATCATGATCATGATCATGATCATGATGATGATGATGATGATGATGATGATGATGATGATGATGATGATGATGATGATGATGATGATGATGATGATGGTGATAGGGGGATTGATGATGATTGCGGCGACGCGGGGCGTTGCCTCTTCAAAACAAGGGCCCGACAACAAAGGATGGTTGGCAAGGAGCAGAGGAGGAGGATAATGAGAGGAGAAGTGGAGGAACGCGGGGTGCCGTCTTGTCAAAACGA